CTTTCTAAGAACTATAATTGACAGCATATACAAACAAAAATCTACTTTTCTTCAACGCAAAGTTTTATTTTCATAAAAAAACAAGTAAAAAGTCAGTAATAAAATAACAACAACAACAAAAAAACAGCACAAATAAATGCAATAGAATAAAGAGAGCTATGAAACGTAAGTTTTTCAGGTTAAGTAAGTTTTTATTCAGGTAAGAAATACAACAGAAATTAAAGTAATCAAATGTAAAATAACACATCCAGTGTTATTTTAGATTTGATTACTTTAATTTCTGTAGTATTTCTTACCTGAATAAAAACTTAACCTGAAAAACTTAGTTTCATAGCTCTCTTTATTCTATTGCATTTATTTGTGCTGTTGTATTCACCTGTATATATTTCAGATTTCAAAATCATGATTGCATGCCTCAAACCCTAAAACTAATGTGAATTACATATTGTATGTTGTCTGTCCAAACCTTTAGATGCTTTGGTGGTAATAAATCCAGAGAGAGGAACAAAAAAGTTGAAAGGTTCGAAAAACAAAAGGGCAAATGGTGCAGAAGAAACAGGTTGAAGTGAACCCACATGTTGCCACTCTTCTTTGCAAAGTGAAGGATTTTCAGTGGAGTTTCTGAAATGTAAGTACACACCCCAAGATCTTTTTTTTTCTTTTATTATTCTCTATCTTTATTTGACTGTACCTGCCATCCCTTTTTCTGTCTCTGTATCTGTCATCCCTCTATCTGTTTCTAACTGTATTATTATGTTTTGTAGCATATATATTGTCCTCGTGGCTGACGTTATTTCCTGTGCCGCTGGCAACAAAATGGATCGGCTCGAAATCGGAAAGAAGTGAGACTGACCGACCGATCACCGATCCGGGCCGATCATGAGGAAAATCGGCCAATTCCGATCCCTGGCCGATCGATCGGTGCATCTCTAGTTTAATTATGACCATGTTGGTTAACTTGTGGTCTTAAAATTATGCATGGTAATATGTTTCAAGTAATTTAATATTATTGAATTTCATGTCCAATTTATTTTGGAATTCAAAGTACCGGTATTACTACATACACTGTTTTATGACATTTCTTTCATGCAATTTTGAAAGTTATATATTAAATAAACTTTGCCCTGTTTAAGAAGTGTAAATTTTTTTGTTTTGTTAAATAACAGGTGAATTAATTTATGCATCATACAACACTTTATGCAGTTAAATGTTCTTTAAAGCTTATGCAGTTAATGAATATTTTAAATTTAAAATTGACCTGCTAGTTATTAATATTCATTAATATTACAGCATACACACATTAAAGTAGTTTACTGTAAAAAAAAATATATAGTTATTTACTGCAATCAGGAAACACAGGGAAATGCTGTAAGTTAAATTACAGCAACACTGCTGTAAATATTACAGTAAACGGCTGGCAACCCTGCTGCCAGTATTTTACTGTAAAATTTACAGGTAATTTTTTACAGTGTAGTGAGTGTACTAAAATTGTTCATTCAAATTCAAGACACCACAGCATGTACTGTTTACAAAGACAATCCTATAACGCAATGCAATGGTCACAAGTTCTGTCGTAACCAATATAGTTCAATGTAACTTGAAACAATGAAACACAGTTGGCAACTGATGCTTTTGGGAAACACACCTCTGTTCAGTTACCCCTGTAGGCAGTCTCATTTCATTCACGTCTCTGTTCTAAAAGCCAGTAATCTAAATATTTAAAATGTGGCCTTGGCACTAAAAAAAACATTGCCATGAACTGCTAAGCAAGAGCATGCATGCATCAGTGCTGAGAATCACAAAACTGCGTTTGGCTATCGCAGGATATAACAGCTTCAGGGATGGGCTCAGCACATAAAGAGCACAGTGGAATGGGACAGAGAGTGCTTTTATGTTTGTCAGTAATGTGCAGGTGTGTTAACACTGATGAAACCCATCAAAACTTCTGGGTGATTTCAGTCAGACTGACTGGAAAGTAAGCATGTACTACACAATATTTATTTTATTTTAATATGATTTCCCGTTCACATACTAAATATTGTTAAATATAAACTGCAGTGTGTTATACCATCTTTAAATTAGTGCTGTCAAACGGTTAATTGCAATTAATTGCATCCATAATAAGTTTGTGTCTACATAAAATGTGTGTGCACTGTGTATATTTATTATGTACATAAATCCACACACATACATATATATATATTTTAAAAGTATTTACATGTATATATACACATGTTTATTTATGTGTATAATTTATATTATAAATAATATAAATTTTATATATTTTATTTTTCTTAATATATATATATATATATATGCATGTGTGTTTGGTTGTACATACACACATATGTAGTTGTTTTTTTGGTGTTTGGCTTAGTGTTATGTTAGAATCATTATTATACTCTTATACCTTTTGTTCTTTAATATTTTGAATTGATTTTCAGTGAACAACGGCTCTGTGTAGTTAATGCTGCTCAATGTGAAAGCACGCAGGTGATGGAGATTTACCGCTGATTACAGAACCGGCTTTACTGATAAGATGCGCGTTAAATATCGCATGCGATTAATCGTGCAGCCCTAGTTTATACATAATAAATATACACAGTACACTACACACACATATATTATGTAAACAAACTTTTATTATGGATGTGATTAATCATTTGACATCACTATTTAATTTAACATATGTGCTTTATATTAACCATTAGTCACCCTGCTAAAATATTGGCATCATCCATCAAAAAACAAACAAAAAACTATAATGGTAGACCACTAAAACTGACCCTAGTGTGCATCACTGCACTAAAACATTCATTTTAGTACATAAACATTAACATTTAATTCACCAACACGGATATGACTAGAGTGTGCCAAATAAATATTAAATAAGAATTTTGAGGAATTCCTGATCACGACTGACATGAGTGTTCAAGCACAATTCATATCCCTAAAGTGATTTACACTTCAAAGAAAATCTGATTGAAATAAACCTGTAATGACACATGCCATCAGTATGGAAGACTTCCAATAAGCTACTTGTTCGCTATGATCACGAGTAACAGAAAGTGTCACCTGTCTATAAATGTGTAAAAACAAGCGATGAGTTGATTTGAAGTGCATTATCAGATGTTTTACTCGCGTGGAGAAACAGAACAAAGTTTCCCAGTGCGAGATGATCATTTAATCACTGTTATCGACGCGCTACAATCACTGCAAACCTGAGCGCATCTCTCGCAAAGTAGTCTTCGCTTAGTTTACAGCCTCACCTAAGAGTGCTATAAACTTTTATGGTTTATTTCAACAAGGGAACGCCGCAGTTGCGTGCATGCATTTAGTAGTTGGTGCTCAGCTTCAACCGATGATCAACAGCCTCCACATAGACACCAACAGCTCCTTCTCCACACATCAACTCCAAAAACACCGCGTATGTGCAACGTTTCGCCCGCTCACCTGTACGTAGTTACTTTCGCAGTATTCGGCGACTCTTTGGAGGTTGGTGGAGCTGTCCAGTAACGCTCTGCGACCCGCTGGGACTTCCTCCTCCAGCAGCATCTGAAGCTCCGCCATCTTTACATCCCTCCACGCGCCCGCCTGAGCCGCCTCGCGCAACCAGCGACAGGAAGTGCAGCGGCTTCAGAGTTTTGGGGAAAGCCAGGGAAGCGCGTTTACCAATAATATAATATAATATAATATAATATTATAATATAATATAATATAATATAATATAATCTAATTACATAACGTTTAGCAAACACTAAGGACTCAAAAAAAATAAATAAATAAAAAAGAGCCTCCATAGCATAACGTGAGGTAAACAGCAAAGATAACAAGATATAATATAATATAATATAATATAATATAATATAATTAGCATCTATTCCATACCATATTCTACATTTAAATATGAAAATATACACTACTGGTTAAAGGTTTGCAATAATTCAGATTTTTTTTGTTTGTTTTTGAAAGAAGTCTCTTTTGCTTACCAACACTCTTAAAAAATTAGGTTCCAAAAGGGTGTTTTCGTAACGATGCAATAAGAACCATTTTTGGTTAACTTTTCAGTGATCAGTTCTTAAAAGAAGCATTTTTTCTTAGTGTGAACAACTTTTTTTTTCACTACGAAGAACCTTTTGTGGAACAGAAAGGTTCCATGATGGATGTTAAAGGTTCTTCATGGAGCCATCAATGCCAATAAAGAACCTGCATTTTTAAGAGCGATAAGGCTGCATTGATCAAACATATAATAATATCAGCAGTAGTGTGAAATATTATTACAATTTAAAATAACTGTTTTCTACTGTAAAATATTTTCAAATGTGAATTATTCCTGTGATGGCAAAGCTGACCATTACACCAGTCTTCAGTGTCACATGATTCTTCAGATATCAATCTACTAATGTGCACAGTTATCAGTTATTATTAGTGCTCAGTTATTAATAGTTCTTATTATAAATGTTGAGAACAGTTTTTGCTGCTTAATATTTTCGTAGAAACTGTGATGAAAGTTCAGAAGAACAGAATCTAATTGAAATATAAATGTTGTAATTTTTGAACTAATAAAATAAATGTATAAAATCTTACCTCACACTTTTGAATGGTAGTGTATCTTAGTTTCTACAAAAATATTCAGCAGCATTTTTTTTTTTTCAGAATTGAAAATAAGAAACGTTTCTTGAGTTTCTTAATATTTTAAAATGTATATAAATATAAAATAGTTATTTTAAATTGTAATAATACCTCAATATGAGATATTAATATTGATCAAATAAATGCACCTATAGTAAGCATAAGGCCTACTTCTTTCAAAAACATCAAAACATTTGACGAGTAGCGTGTATGAATTAAAAGTTCCACAATATTTATATTTCTTTACTTTTTTTTCTTTTTTTGGTTGATTTAACCAGCGATCTAAGCGTTACAGTATATGATATAATAACAATGTTTGATACTGTTATTAATGAAAGTTAAGTGCTACCTTTATTAAGCTGAACAGGTAAAGCAGATAAACAAACCTTTATCACTATGTATTTCTTCCTCTCATTCCTCGTTTTTTTTTTCTTGACAACAATAATGTATCTTTAATCAAAATGAATTATCACATAATATACGCTGAAAGAATGCATTACTCTTCATCTACTGAAAAGATGCACTTTTCTGTCTCACATTCCTTTGGAGATTGCGCCCCCTGTGTTGTCATAACACATAATATTTATTTCACTCCTTTAATCTCTAGTTGGAAACAACAGTATTAAAATTCAGTTTGTACTATGACTTGTGTTTGTGTATGCATGCTCTGATGCATTTAGTGGTAACGGGGTGTATTTGACATAAAACATCAAGTGATCGACAGGAGTGTCCTACATTTACTTCCATTTATTAATTTAGCACACACTTTTAGTAGCTTCTATCCAAAGCAACTTACAAACTGCAAGTAATACCTGCAGTATGTAATACAATACTTCTGGTAAAAGTATTTAAACAACATATTTATAATTGTTGAATAATTATATTATAAATTCAGTTCTTATGAATCCATAGACATGAAAAATCTGTTGTAAAAAACAAATGTAAGAATTCAACACACCACAAGACTATTTAAATCGTACTTCTAAAATACACACTTAGAAGATCAACAAAGAAGGGAAACAAAGGGAAAAAGTTTATTTATATGTTTACATAGTTATTATCTACAGTATATAACAAGCTCAACAACAAAGTAATATACAAAATCAAAACATTTAGCACAAAACAATGTTAATTTCTGATCATTGATAAATGTAAATCACGTATCAGTGTTTTAGGCTGCCAGCTCATGTTTCTCATCGTGACGTGGATACTCCTCCACCTCCATCGCCATTAAAAACTCTGACAGTAAAGACAGTACTTATGTTAGGATGTGGACTATAGAGGAATAAGATGACGTGACAATAGACACATGAAGAGGAAAAGACGCACACACACACACACACACACACACACACATTCTGTGTAGGTCTACTTACCTTCAGTGTAGTCCATGTCTGGTCGTGTAGCAACAAACACCCAGGCTAGACCAACCAGAAGAGCTACGACCAGGTTTACCACGATCCAGGGCTGTAGAATCTGATGTTCTGAACCCGGGGGCCTAAACAACAATCACTGCATGTGATTTAGTGAAGTATTCAACCTTGTGCTACAGATCAGTTTCACTTACAGAATGATATGGTGATTGTTGCAATAATGTTTTAAGGCTATTATGTTGGATTACATTATGCCTAGCTTGACAAACCCACCAAAGCGTTTCATTGGCTGTGGGGTAGAGATGTATACAGTACGATCACTGGTCATCTGCTGGCTCAGAGACAGGATGAGAGCAGCAAAGTATACTAGGACAAAAAACACAGAAGGTTTATATCAAAAAAATATCTTTGTGTTGTCAGAGACAGTGTTATTTTATTCTTGAGTTTTTGTAGTTTTTATTAACATTTTGAATTAGTTTTTTATATTTTTGTTTTAATTTTACTCTATGTTTAAGTAATTTTGTTGTGTATGCTTTTGTCATTATTAGCCATTTAAATATAGTTAATTATAATAAGCTATATAGTTACAACTATATAGTTAATTATAATAAGCCTGGTCAGAGGTAAGTGTTGTGTTGATAAAGTTTATTGATTTTCACTCACAGAAGGAAACAAGAGCCGCTGGATCAAGAGTGAGAAATCCTCGAAGAGCCATGGATGCTTTGGCCAGATTCACCCTGATGTAAAGAGGGTACAGATAATTCACTCCAAACATTTATTTTGTCAAATGACATGAGCCACATTTTCAAACACTCAAATCAAAAAACTGTACAACAGATAGTTCTGCGAAATTCTCTTATCAGTTGTCTTGGGATTCAATCTTAGTGCAGATTGTCCCAAACTGGGTTTTGCAAACACATAGCGGTTCGCGAGCTGATGAAAACGTAATAAATAATTAAATCATGAAAATGTAAAATGAAAACAAATGACTTTAAAATAAAACTGATAAATAAAATATTTTCTTTAACTGCATGTCATGTGACCATTCACCGACATGCAAGAACCAGGTTAAGGCTAGAAGAGATAGAGTTGCAGCTACTGGGCTTGCGCTCATCAATATAGCTTAATTTTTGTCACACTGTACAACAATAATTACTGTTTTCGCATTATTGTAAGGGATAGGTTTAGTGTTGGGGTAGGTGTAGACATTAATAAAACAATTCTAATAGGTAGAAAATTAAATTTATTGTTAGCTTCCAGCCGTAGTTGTATCCCTTCTAGCCACAACCCAAGAACCATGATCATGCAAAAATATTGTTAAAGTATTGAAATTTAAACTTAAAATCTCAATGTCAAAGGGGAACAGCTGACAAAAATGTATGGGGATCCCCGGTGAAAGCACTTATTTATTGAATTGGAATCAATATATTTGCTCATTAAAATGCGATTTTAAATCGCTTGGAGTATGATTATGTATTGTTTATACGGTTGTTGCTTATATTGACACTTGTGTTCTTACTATGCGTCCACACACCTGTCAAAGGCAGACACGGTGCTGATGGCCAGCAGGAGGTAGAGCAGAGACTGGGCTGGGTAAGCCAGACTGTGGTACTGCTGGAGAAGGTTATGTAGAGTGGTCATCTGCTCTCCAGCTAACACATACACAACAATGATATTCCACACCGCATATCCTGCCAGAAACCCATGAGAGAACAGTCCAATGATCCTACACAGAAAGCAACAGCAATTTTAGCAGTTGAGTTCAACACATAACAAGTCAACAAGCTCCAAAAAGAAAACCACATGAAAAGGTCACGGTCTTGATGAGTACTAGACAAACTCATGAAGCCCGTTGATAAGAGCTGTTAGATCATCTCCCAACCAAACCCACCTGAAGCCGCTGTGGACCCTCATGGCAACATCTCGTGTATTCCACATGGGCCTGACTTCCATGTACTCCTCCATATGGCCACGGGATAAATCCAAACGATCAGTCGCCTGGAAGCGGCCTGGGTCAGAGGTCATAGTTTATCCTATTTTAGTGGCTACATTTATATATAATATACTTGTCATAATACTGCATATATACATATATATACACACTGTATATATGTCTTTGACATAAATCAGATCTATAAATATAGGATCTGCAATAATACAGAATATGAGATTTTTTAATAACTAATACATTGGCAACAATTATAGGGACCAATTCTCACTGTTAAATAGTTGCTTATTAACATGCCTATTATTAACAAATTGGCTGTTTATTAGTACTTATAAAGAACATATTCTACCTCACTAATCCTATCCAATACCTAAACTTAACAACTACCTTACTAACCATTAATAAGCAGCAAATTAGTTTATTGAGGCAAAAGTTGTATTTAATGGTTTGTTAATAGCGAGAATTGGACCTTAAAATAAAGTGTGACCAATATATCATTGTTAGCATACAGTATATTTATGTATAATGATAGTATCATTACATGTATGTATCTAAAATGAAACTCACGGTTCTTTTCTACAAACACTTTTCCGATCGGATGACTGTGACCCAGAGGGGCTGAGAATAGAGAGCGCTGAGATATGGGTGCGTGCACATCGGTGATGATGTCCTCCTCCTCCACGCCGAGC